AGGTGAGCGCCGGGAGTGGCCCTTGGCCCGGGACCCCCGCCCGCTGCGCGCGGACGCCCCCCACCCCGCCGCGCTCCCGGGTCTGGGCCTCTCCGCAGCCCCCTCTCCTGGTTTATTCCCGTGTCCCTGCCTCCCCTGACCCCCACTTCTCGGAGTGGACACCTGATCCTGCTGTTCCCCCTTGCCCTTCCGCCGCGCTGGGCGCTGGGCCACCCTCCCGCGGCTCCAGCCTCTCTGTAGAGGGTACAAGGTCAGTGCCCTGGGGAGGAGGCCTTCACAGTAATGGGGGTCGAGGGCAGAGGGAAGAGAAGCCTGACTCCCTCTCGCTTCTCCCGTTTCCCGTCCCTCTCTCCACCTCCATCCCTCTCCCTCTCCCTCTCTGCTAGCTGTGACACAGGCCTGACCTTCCTTCCCGGGGATTTCAGAAGTCCCCTCTATCTACTCAGTAGCTGACAGGTGAAGGTCTGGGTCTCCCTCTGCTACAAAGGGGACTGAGGTGGGCAGGGGCAACCAGGTGCTGACTGAATCCTTTTTCTTTCTTTTTTCCTAGTACTGGGGATTGAATCCAGGGCCTTTGCCCTGAGCTACACCCTCAGCTCTTTTTAATTTTTGAGACAGGTTCTCTAAGTTGCCCAGGCTGGGCTCAAACATGCAATTCTCCTGCCTCAGCCTCCCAGAATGCTGGGATCACAGGTGTGTGCCACCACACCCGCTGTGCTGGCTAAATTCTGAGCTTGATGGGAGGGAGAGTCCACAGGACCCAGGCTCCCTTCCTCAGGCAGATGGGATCCCTGGGATCCTGCGTCCTGGCCTTGGGACCGGCACCCAGCCCACACTCGTAGGTCCCCACATTCTCAAGCTTTTCCCGGGCTGGCCTTATCCACCAGGCCCCCAGCCCCCTGGACATGTGGCAGCTGACACCATGTGCAACAGGCTGGTGTTTAGAAGTGACAGGAGACAGAAGCCCTGCGGCCTGGTGGACTAGATATGGATGCTTCGCTTCCTGGGCCCCAGGGCCCAGGGCTGAGGGCTTCCTTGCCCCCTGGATCCCTTAGCCACCCTCTGCAGACCCTGGAGGCCAGAGCTAGGGCTGTGGCTCTGGTTGCAGGATTCGGGAGGTGGAGTCTTTGGCAGGACCCTGGGCACAGAAGGGCAAGAGCTAGCTGTCCTGTGCCCGGAGTCCCTTGTGCTGGGCAAGGACCCTTGGCGAGGGCAGGGATTGTCCTTGTGGAGGAAGGGGCAGTGGGAGCTGAGGGCCACCATAGTGTATCGGTGGCTGGAGGAGCCCGGCTGACCTGTTGCCCTGGAAGCCTCTTCATCTGTAGATTTGGTTATGACTCAGGCCAGCCCCTTCCTCGGGTCACATGTGTGCCGAGTCTTTCCTCTTCCAGTGACATCTGGAATCAGACTTGAGTTCATGGGTAGGGGTGTTCTGAACCCCTTCCCAAGCCTCACCCTAATTCTGCCATGTCAGGGTTGATGGCCAGGCCAGGCTGCTGCAAGGATATGCGGGGCACCAGAGTCAGACGTGCAAAGGCCTGGGGGTGTGATAGTTACTTGGGGTCAGAGGTTGCCCAGAGATGAGACTGCAGGGTGAGCTGCAGGCATCAGACACTTGCAGGCTCTGTCACCCTCCAGCCAAACCTCAGCCACCCAGGTGTCCCAATGAATCAGTCACGGTCCCAGCCCTAGGAGGAGGGTCAGGTCGAGTGGGAGAAAATCATGGGTTTTGGGTGCTGCAGGCAGCTGGGCTGAAGGCTGAGGTTGCTGTCTGCGGGAAAGGCTCAGTCAGACACTGTCGCAGCTGGGTGGGGGCTGGGTGTCCTGGGTACCCAGGGAGGCGGCTGCCCAAGGTCACACAGCCTTTGGGGCTGGGCTGCCAGAGGCACATCTCCGGCTCCCCTCGTCGTGTGTGTCCCGGCCTGTGCCGGCAGCAGGAAGCGGGGAGAGGTAAAGGAGACTCCTGGAGGAGGGCCCAGTGGGGCTCTGGGATAGACAGGAGGTTTACAGACGCAGGAAGCAGACTGAGACGTCATCCTTGTGTTGGGACGGGAGGTTCAGCTGGGGAGGGTCTTGGTGAGTGAGCTCCGTGGAGGGCAGAGAAGACAGTCGCTGTTGGAGATTCCTGACCCGCACAGGGAGGCGGCCATGCTGGGGCCCTCGGGGACACTGATAGGTGTCCAAGCTGTCTGGTAGGAGAAACTGGACACCGAAGGTCAATCGCAGGAGAAAACAAACAGGGAGCTCAGAGGCGGAGGAGCTGCCCAGGGTCACGCAGTGGGCCTTGGCGGTCTGGCTGATGGGAGGAAGCTGAGGGCCGCCCCTCCTCACTCTGACCCCACAGGACGCTGACCGAACTGCTCAAGCAGCCGGGGCCCCAGGAACCTCTGCCCCCGCCTCTGGGCCCGCCCCTGGGTAGCTGTGTCCAGGTGCAGATGGGCGATGGCCTTCCCCGGGGGTCCCCCCACAACAGCACAGGTGAGGGGCGCTGGGTCCAGCGCAGAGCACGGCCAGGGCGCGGTGGGGGTGAGAGGAGGTCGCCTGCTTGGCTGTGGGTGGAGGCTCTGCGTACGGAGCTGCCTGCCTCTGCACGTGCCGGAGTGGGGTCTGGACAAGGGCCGGCTGCCCGTGGTGGAGAGGGTCCCCCGGAACCTCCAGCTTCAGGGGCTTCGCTTCTAGGAGGAAGGCTCCAGATTCAGGACTTGCTGGCCAGGGTTGCACTTCTGTCTCGGGCCGGGTCGGGGTTGGAGTTCAGAGCTTCGCTGGCCAGGTCCCCCTCCCCCAGGTGGGCTCTGTCCCCAGACAACTCCCCTCTTGGGGGCAGCGCGCCTGGCTCAGCCTGCCGCGCTCGAGCGGAGCCCTCCATCAGGACAGCGGCCCCCAGGGCTGGCTGCCACCGTCGTGGTTTTCTGAGCCAGGCCTTGTTCCCCGCGCCGGACACTGGGCCGCAAAACTAGACTTCCCCCTGTCCCCCGGGCTCCCACAGAGCTGCCCTGGGGCGGGGCGGTGGCGCAGGCGGCGCCGTGCGGGTCCGCGGGGGGCCTTGCCTGATCTCCTTCACTGCAGACAAGAAACGCCTCAACAACGCGCCCCTGGGCCCTGCCGCCCCGGGGGCCCCGCGCGGTCCGCGGCTGCTGGACGGCGGCAGCGTGACACTGCGGCCCGACTATGCCAAGTTCACCACCCTCAAGGCAGCTGCGCTGAAGGCCGCAGGTGAGCGTCGGGGTCGCGCAGTACGCAAGGGTCTGGGGAGCCGAGCTCCTCTGCTCAGGGCTCGGGGTCCAGGTGCAGACCCCGCCGTCCAGACAGCTGGGCTCGGCCAATCGGTGCTCGCGGCGCCCCCGCGCAGCCAATCGGCGCCCCTTGCCGCACGCTGACCCCGCCCACCTGCCTGTCTTCCCAGAGGCCGCGCCCCAGGACTTCTACCAGCGATTTCCGGCCGCCGAGCCTGCCCCAAGGACCCTCCCGGCGCGAGCCCCGCGGCCCCCGGAGGACCTGCCCGCGCTGCTCGACGCCTGCCCTTGGGCCCCGCCGGGGT